CTTTGTGTGTGTGTCCCCTCCCCCAGGCTGTGATCCAGAACCCCTTCAGCAACGGGGGCAGCCCCGGCAGCGAGGGGGGGGCCGAGGCCCGCTTCACCTGGGGGGGTGAGGGGGCCGTGGCTGTGCAGGCCGACCCCGCCCTGGCCCAGGCTGGAGGTAATGGGGGACCCCACACCTGATGGGCGGGGGGAGAGGGCACCCCCACACCTGGGGGGGCTCAGGTGTTGTAGGGGGCACACAGGGGTGTGACCCCCCCATCCCCACTCCTCTCCAGGTCAGTTCTATGTGATGATGACCCCCCAGGACGTGCTGCAGGCAGGGGGGGCCCAGCGCAGCCTCGCCCCGCATGGGCACCCCTACTCCCCGTGAGTGCACCTGGGGGGCACCTGGGACGTACCTGGGACACACCTGGGGCAGTTGGGGGGCACCTGGAATACCTGGGGGGCTCCTGGGACACTTGGGGGTCGAGTGGGGGGTACCAGGGAACGCACCTGGGGAGTACCTGGGGACGCACCTGGAACACCTGGACACGTCCCACGTGCCCCGAACGTACCCAAAACACACCTTTGTACGCTCCAAAACTGCCCTGGCGTGCTGTGGGCACACCTGGGCACACCTGGATACACCTGGGCACGCCCTGACACACCTGGGCATGCCTGTGCCGGGCACCCCCATCCCACCTGTGCCCCCCCTGTCCCCCACAGGAAGCTCGAGGGGCCACGGGTGCCGCGGGACGAGCGACGGCGGGCGCAGCACAACGAGGGTGAGGAGGGGCCCCGTGTCACCCCTGTGTCACCCCTCTGTCACCTGGGGGGGCCCAATGTCACGCTTGTGTCACCTGGGTGGCTTCTGGGAGGGCCCAGTGTCACCCCTGTATTACCCAGGGGGGCCCAGCGTCACCTGGGTTGGGACAAGATCCCCCATTGTCCCCCCAGTGCCCTTCCATGTCCCCCCTAATCCCCCAAAAGCCCCCCATCCCCCATGTCCCCCGTGATGTCCCCAGACCCCCAATGTCCCCGTGTCCCCAACGGTGTCCCCAATGGTGTCCCCAATGTCCCTGTTCCCAGTCGAGCGCCGGCGCCGGGACAAGATCAACAACTGGATCGTCCAACTCTCCAAAATCATCCCCGACTGCGGCACCGACAGCGGCAAATCGGGGGCGGTGAGGGGGGACTGGGGGGGAACTGGGTGGTCCCGGTGGGTCTGGGGGGGGCTGA